ATTTACGTAAAATATTCTGAGATAAAAAAGCGTCTATTTCTAGAGTGTCATGTAACTTAAGATATTTTCTATAAATAATGTTATTTTTAAACTAAATATTCTATTCTACTCATGTCTTTAAATAACTTAAAACTCGTTTGGTTTGACTTTAATTCTTGTGAAGGAAGAGGGCCTTGTTTTCGAGTTTAATTTTTCAATCGTGTGAAGTTTGCATTCCGCTTCGCTGAGTCTTTAGAAACAAGTTAAGGTTCTCTATAAGTTATATGTGAGACATATTATAATATATGCACTGATAATATATACAGATATAAAACATGTACAAACCATTAAGTGTTTTTAACAAAAAATCGCCTGCATGAGAATAATAGTTTGCATTGTTTAAGTGTATGTTACTCAGGGGAAACATTTATTAGAAATTTTATGAAGATATCCGAATGTGACATCGCTGAAATCATAGAAAGAACACCTTGCTATGTGAAACAGAAGCTACATGATATAAATTTGATGGCCTTGCTATCCTAGCCTATTGTAGTGATGTAGTCAAAGGTATAATTTATAAGGTTTAGCATTGTAATTTTATTGCTAATGCCAATCTCCTACATCACATATCTTCTTTCATACGATTTTTATAATGTATCCGTTACAACAACACGGAATAGTAGATCAAAATTATCATACATATAATACAGACGTCTAAGCTAAATTGAGAAAAGATAAAAAAAATCCATAAAGTATATTTATCGTAAAGGACAAACGAACATTCAGACATCGTCACAAACTTTATCATAAAAAATTTAGTAGTTTACTTATATTAACACAGTTTTCGTATTTTTTTAGAAAAACTTGAATCACATATAATCATTCAACATCTACAAAACTTACTCTATAAGTTAAATTATTATGTATTTTGACCAGCTTTTTAAATTAATTACTACACAATGAGCGACAATAACGTTTCGCTAGAATAAAGTTTCAATAAAACCATTTTTAACACAAAAGACACATTAGTTTTAAAATGTCTTATTTATTTATTATCAATGAAATAAAGGCATAATTTGGTAATGTACAATTAGAATGAAGAATAGTACTAATTTTGAAATATTAAAATAAATTTTAATATAAACTTATAAAACTAGAACTTAACAAAAATTCAATATCTGAGATGTCAGCGGCGAGATGGCTACAACTACGTCGTTTATCTTATGATATTACCAGTCTATATTTAGATTTTGCAAGACAGACAAGATATATATATAATACCATACCATATAGACAAGATATATATAATACCATCAGACAAGATATATATAATACCATGTTTTCATTTAAAATACAATCCTAGCAAGAATCACGAAGTTGGCTGGATTTGCATAAATTATATTTGGCTACATATAGTTTTCTAGAAAAGTAGTAAAACGAGAAATACATAAATTTTCCTCTAAGAAAATCAATTCCAAGAAGAGATTGCATTTCTGTGTCGTTCTAGAGGGATTCCAGCGACACCCCTGTTGTTAAAAACCATAAATAAAGTATTTATTTATAATAGTAATTATACTGAACGTGTTTATACTTTTATATATACTATAAGTATATACAAGACTTCATAAGTTTTCAATTTGTTTAGTTTAAATAACTTCTAATACATTTTTTTATATAACACGTAAATATGTACAAATTTATTCTTGTCGCTTAGTATTTTAAATTATTTCATAATTACTTCAAGCTTCTCAAATTTTGTATTTATTTTATAAAATATACGAGTATATGTAATAATACTTGTTAATCGTAATGCGGGCCAAGTAGCTTCACAGTAATTTAAAGTCACATACAAATTCATGCATTTAATAGTGGAAATATCTCGCCTCGGTTTCGCGATAGGACTTTTGTAGACAATTCAGCTGCTGTTATATAATAATGCTTATCATAAGGGTGTCAAGAAAACCTAAAGACAATTTTTACATGAAATTTTATTATTTGAAGTTTCATTTCTTTAATTAATAAATAAATTGGTGACCTAACATACACAAATATTTTATAAATAGTGTTCGCTCAGTTTGAATTCTCTTTTAAATAAATGTAAGCTGTAACAACCGATGTTTAAAAGAATTACCTTCGAGTACTACCTTGATAATCTACAAATAGAGTTCCAAGAAAGTAAAACTACAAAGGATCTGGCGGTCAACTCTTAGCTACGATTTCTAAAGTTTTAATATTATTAAAAAAGAAGATATACTCGTAGGTACTTTGGTAAGACTTCTACTCGATGCCTCGATCACTCTAAATTATTATTTTGGAGATTATCATTGTAATAAAATTCTTCGAAAAGGATCATGTGACAAATGATGTCGCTTGAGGAATAATGACTTATTGTAAACAAGATAAATTACTCAGTTCACAAAAGAATTTTCTTTAAGACGAAATCAGTTATATATATTTTTATGTTACCATTTTAAGTCATTTTCTTTTAAAAGAATGTCCTTTTTGTTCTTTAAAATAAATTCATTATTTTTTACATATTAAACGCAGCACATTTATAGGTATTTTGAAATGATTTTCACTAACTCAAGACTTTAGTGCTGTTTGCTCGGACAAGTTTGAAGTCATTGCAGTATATGTGAAGATTTAAAATGAGTGATCTGCGAAAATTTATCTTACAATCTGAAAACGCTGACAAGACCTTTGTTTATGTATATAATATCCCCTAGTATAAAGTCCGGGATTTCAATAGTATTTATACAGTAATTTAGAAATATCGAAGGCAAGCATTGTAATACGATTAAATTTTATAAATAATCACAATAATAGGCACACCAAGGTTCTTAAGAGACAGTATAAAATTATATCCCACTAAAGGTTGTCTCGTATCAATTGCAAATATTTTAAATACATATAATATCATGGCTACTTTGAAATACTTTTAAAAGTTTTTTCAGCCAGTAAACTCGAAATAAATGATTGTATTGAGAATATAAAAAAATTGTAAACGCTCTTTGTGCTCTCACTTAAGAAACAGCATATACATATTTGTTAACCAGGTTGGCATGTATTAACTTCTTTTTCCTTTAATTCTATTTTTATCTGTCTTATTTTTAGTGGGAAAAAGATTCAAAGTATGTTTTGACACATATATATATATATATAAAAGTAAGCAAAATGGGTATGTACTTTCAAAGTCTTTCAAAAGCGCAACCGCTAGTCTACGGAGTTAATTAAGACATTCATAAAGACGACATACGAGTTCAGAAATACTTCAAAATATTATTTCATTTTTGACAATTTGAGTAAAAATGTTAACGAAAAAGGTTCTTTCCTGAATATAGATAAAGAGTAAGTGAGTCAACGTCAACATTAAACAGTGTAGGACAAAGGGAGCACGTGACTATTTAAATACATAAAATATTCTGCTATCCTGCTCAGTTGGTTCGTTCATACGTCCACAAGTAATATATATTTTTCTAATTATATAACTATCTTTATTATCAAAGCTTACAAAATAATATTTAAAATGTTTTTACAACCAACTTACTAACATTAGCAACACATTCAAAAGCATTTCTCTCACTTCTAAATGTGTGGAAAAATTAATTAACAAGATAAGCAGTGATAATTAAAACTTTATAAAATATTTTTCTATTTACTCATGTGAACGTGGTAATGGACTTTTCCGTCCCTTTAAAGTTTTCTTGAGAGAAAGCTTCACATTTAAAAGACAACGTGTTTGAATGAAAGTAGGAATTTGTAATGTACATAAAATGTAATACAAATGAAGGTTGTGATTCCTTCTTGTAAAAACGCGTCACAGGTCGGCCTAAATGAGGCTAAATCATCAATGATCATTTATATTCATTGTGTATTTTTTACGAATTACATGAATACATTAAACAAGAAAATATTCTGAGAATTTATGAAGAGTTGAGAGTGAAACAAAACAACAGCATCGGATATTTTACAAGTTAAGTTTTGGAATAAAAAATCTAATATCTCTGGTAATTGATATAAGATTTTGTGAAATTCTTTCATAACCGTTAATTTTAAATAAATTATTATTAAATGTTGAAGGAAAATAATTTCATTATTTTTTTCCGTTTACAAAGTTATGAAAGGTAAAGTTTTTATATAATTGTTTATGTGTTCTTGAACAAAACCAATAAAACGGAGAGCTTCTTTAACTTTAGAATTATGTTTTTGGAAAACAAACAAAAACAACGTTCTATAGTTATATATATTTTGATGTGTGGTGAAAATATTTTTATGATATAGTACCTATTAGTAACAATAGTAACAATTTTCCTATGATCCATGCTTCTTTCATAAAAGTAATGAAAGAAGTTATATATCGACTATATTAAAGGATTTTTTTAATATACGTAATCCTTTGAAAAAACGGGTTACAAGCAGTATAATCACGTCGCAACGTGAAGAATTGTTTAAAGTGGCAAGGTAATCTTTAAACAGTCTTTTGTTAACATACGGCATTTTATTAAAATAAAGACGTGAAGGGATTTATTAACATTCGTCTTCCGTATAATATAGACAAGGATATTATATAATATAGATTAGGATATAATACGGTTTATGTATGAATTTATCATTATTATTGTATTTATTTATTAATTGGGTGATTTTAAGAAAATGTGGCTAACGAACAAAGCGAAAGGGAAATGTTTCAACTGCAAAAAGAAACACACTTATTTTCTTTACTTTCTTCGGCGCTACAACCCTTTGTGGGTCTTGGCCTCTTCAACAATAGACTGCCATGCACGACGATCCTTGGCTGTCCTTCTTCCAGTTCGTAAAACATTTCAGAGCCTTGAGATCGTCCTCGATGCAGTCGCACCATCTCTTTCTTGGCCTTCCTCTAGGTCTCCTTTGCTGCAGCTTCCAGTCGGTCATAATCTTGTGTGCCCAGTTTTTGCCCATTTTCGCTACGTACCCAGCCCATCTCAGACGCTGTGACTTGATGAATCGGACGATTGCTTCTAGGTTCATAAGTGCCTCCATCATGATTCATGATTCATGCGTATACAGTAGTCACCGTCTTCGTCTTTCATTGGCCCAAACACTTTGCCCAGAACTTTCCTTTCAAACACGGCGAGCTTTTGGGTTTCCAAAGCTGTTAGTGACCATGCTTCACACCCATAGGTGGTGACGGGGCGTATTATGGTCTTATAGATAGACAGCTTGGATTTTGCACTAAGATATTTTGATCGGAAAAGTTTGCTGAGGGAGTAAAAGCATCTACTGTCAACCATGACTCTGGCATTCACCTCATCTCCAACCTTATTTCGGCTGGATAGTATCGATCCAAAAAAAAAAGAAACACAAAAACGGAAAATTGAAGAGTAGCCCTTCATTTATAGTCTCAACTAAACTATTTTACTGAATAGATAACATCAACTTCAGCACATTAACATAATATAGTGATGGTCGCTTCTATCAGAACGACGGGCTACTCTCATTGTTAGCGTCGCAATTACTCAGCGAGAGTCCTAAAAAACTCACAAGTTTTGCATACAACATACGAAGGTGTTGAAAAACATTGTAACGACTAGTCTTCTTCGTGGTCTTCTTCGATAGTTGCCCACATTTTGTTTTTTATTTTTCAGTAAAAAGTATTTATTGTGTTAGCGATGATTGAATTTTTCAGTATTAATTAACTTTTATAGAATTCCGTTAATTAATTGACATTTGTTTTAATTGATTTTAGGGATTCATGTCTTTATATATTGAGTGGAAATACTATTCGAAAACCAATTAAATACATTGTAATAGTTTGCTTTTTTTGTAATTTTCAAGCAGGGGTTAATGGTGTTTATGAAAGTCAATGAAAATCGATGGATCTAATTCTGTAAAACAACTTCAGTTGTACTGAATAGTCTCTTGTACCTATATCCTTTACAGTCGTAATTTTGAATCCAATAAAACTACGTCAAGACAGACATAGAACAGTTTGACACTTTTCTGAAGATTATTAATGACAATTAAATAACCTTAATTTGGTGTAACATTTTAAAAGATATCAAAACTTTACCGCGTCTATCGAATTTCATTACTATACAATAAATGTTAATTCTATAATGGATAAGTTTTTACCAAATAAAAAACGGCATATAAAAGTACATAATAATATTATTTAATACTTTTTGTAATAGTGAATTAAACAAAATGTAAAAATAAATAAAAGTGTCTTAATAAAGGAATTTTTTTTTTAGAGTACCTTTAAGCCATAAAACTCCGTAACTGAAGTGTTACAGAATGATTGACATATTACTTAGTTGTCAAATCTAATGTCAAAGTAAACGTCTGTATGGGAAATTTTTTCAGCTTTTAAACCTTCCCTTAACCTCCACGAACCTTCCAATACTAAAATAAGATAAATCCGTTCAGCCGTTCTCGAGTTTTAGTGAGACTAATGAACAGCAATTCATTTTTTTATATATAGAAGACATATGTATAACGGGAGCAATGTTACCGTTAGGTGAAGTTACATTTGGATTCAAACAAACTTTTGACGGTCATTTGGTTTAGACATCTCTATGGAGGTCTATTTTATCAGTCTGAGATATTTTATTTTTCCCCCTTTTTTATTTTAAATATATCCCATTGATACTCTCTCGAAGTATGGAATATATTATAGTCGTACAATACAAGTTGTAGTCCAACTTTTGTTCCCTTCGTTATCTTTCTAATTGGGATCTTTAAAACGCCTTCAAGTCAACCACGGTTATAAAGATAAAGAGATGATGAAAATCTTAACAATTTATGACGTTACGTTCTTTGCCAATCTTCAGTGATAATTCAGTTCTACTTTAGTTTCCTGTGTACGTAAAATAATGTAATGGCTTATCAAAGCTTCTTATAAGCCAAGAGATCTATATCGGTTTCGTTTTTTTTATTTTAATTGATTGAATTTTGAATATCCATGCTTGAAGTTAGTGGTGGTCTAGTGGTTAAAGGACCCGCCTCTCGTTGCCGAAGGCGCGGGTTCAAACCTGGCAAGTACCAATTTGATTTTTCGGAGTCATATGTAGTTTCTGAGAGTATTTAGAGAAGGAAAACATCTTGAGGTAACCTGGACTTATTGTTTCACAATTATAAGTTTGAAATCACCAACCCGTCTTGAACAAGCGTGGTGATTAATGTTCAAACCTTCTCCATGTGAGAAAGAGTCCTTTGCTCAGCAGTGGGCTCTGATAGGCTGATGACATGTTTGAAGTGAAAGCGTTGGTTCCAATAACTGAAACATCCTCATAGTTAATTAAATACAGTTTAATTTAAAAGCCTCTAAAACTATTTTGACATTACTGATATCCAAGACCGATGATAGCAACTTATCAACAAAAAAATCCTTGGCAATTTTTTATCGGCATATAAAAGATACTGACTTATTTAATTATATAAAATAAATTTAAAATAACCGTAAATATAATATGAACATTGAATTCTTATCGTAATTATTGATACAAGAACTCAAATGTGGTGTAAAATAATAAACACTACTGGGTACCTTTCTAACATGGCTAAATATAAAATTAACTTTTTTAACAAACATTCTTGGTACATGACAACTACCAGACGATACCAAAATAATTCTGAACATATTACAGTAATGAATAGATAGAAGATAAGAATCTATTGGTGCTCTATTCCAACTCTGGTCCAACAGTTTTATCAAGATAAATAATGTTCCTAATCTTCTTTCAAATGGGTAGACTTGAGAGGTCATTGATCCTTAATTAATATAAATATACGCCTTCTCTTTACCCAGGACTGTTGAAGGTTTGACAGAATATTCTTTGTACTTTACACGTTACTTGTGGTGTTAAAAATTACTTTTGTATTTCAATTGGTAAACACATCCACTGTTACTGGGGATCCTTGAGAACTTTTCTCGGTTTTAACACATAAAAACTTACAGGAAGTGCAAAAGTGACATTTATATAATTATTCCTAATATGTGGTTTCAATAACTTTACATTTTATAAAAGACTGTATTCTTCGGTGACCCTTTTTAAAATTAGTTCATAAAATCTATTTTATTGAACGATAAATAATGTCAGTAATAATATAAGTAATTATCCTCACCGTTATTAATTAAGAGCTTAATATTAAAATTATTCCGTCACTTTTATAATAAATTATGTAGGGATTACTAAAATTACTATAATTAATACAACTTTAAAAACCGATTTACTTCGTATGTAAATTCTATTTTGAATTGAAAAAGTTTGAACCTCAGCTTAATAGGATAACACATTTGAAATTCATTTTTTTCTTTTTTGACAATATTAAGCGAGTCAAAGTTGAATGCTTGCAATATGTTTTACATCAAACGTTTGTATCAGATTTTTAAAAATTTCTTTTACCTAAATACATAAATGTTATCTCATGCGTGAATTAATAAAATAGGAAAATCTATATAAGTAAGAGTTAATAATTTTAAAACTATCATAATTTGAAACATATGAATACTATTAACATATATACATACATTTTCAATAGTCATTAGTTGTCGGTTAGATATACATATTTCTGTACATATCAAGTTCTCCGGAAGAATTTATGACTGTGACAATGACATGTCCGTATACCTAAATATACAAATGTTTTCATTTCTAACATTCATTATATTTTTACTTAAATGAAGATTTGCAAAATTTTACAAATTATTATTTTCTCGTTAATTATTAAAATACTACCAACTGTCGTGAAAAAATGTCACAACATACAATACATTCATTACATTTTCCCTAAGTTTCTTATTTGTTACATCTTAAAGGAACAGACCAACACTGTATCATCAATCTGTGAGGACATCGTGTTCTTGGTGCTCTTCCTCAGTTTCTTGCCACGTGTCTTTAAAATTGTTAACGACCGACAATTCTTTTATAAATTGTATAGAACGCAAAAGAAATAAGAATTCTTAGAAAACAAAGATAATATTTTATGTTAGTGGGACTAAAATATATTTAACGCGACGTATATAAATGAGTCGACATTGATTTATTTATACATAATAGATATCCTATAACATGTATAACTATATAAGATATATTAATTAAATGTATCAGTTTATAAGTGAATGAAAGAATTTCCAAGTATTTTATACTGTCATTTACTCCAAAGTTTCATTGATATTGATAAATACTGAATCGTTTCTAAATAATTGTGAAACGTGAAATGATATAATATTTTATAGGAACAAGGAACAGTGTGCGAATATTCGATTTCAATATTCGGATTTGATACAATTAACGCTAAATTCTAATGCCATTTTATTATTATACTGTTACTATTGTGAAGTGTTTGTCTTGACTTTTTAAGAACCAATATTGTCTATATAAATTTTTCATTTAAATCATATGTCTTAAAGATTTTTGTAATTTTCACCATTTCACTTTTTTATATTAAAAAGATAAAATAATAATTCTATGTACTATAGTTTTGCCTCCGTTTTCATGTATCTGGATTTTGGAATTCGGCTAAGAGAAAGATGAATATTAAAATAAAACAATGCACTATACACACAACAACATTGCTTGTATTAACTTTTTCTTCTTTTAACACTTTTTATGGAACGTAACCACTAAAGACTAATCTAAGTCGATTTGTTTTATTTTCAAATATGTTCAATATGCCAATATTATGACGTAATATTAAAATGTTCAGTAATATAGTTGATTATAAAACAGTAACGATTGTTTCATGTTATAAAATTTCAAAACATTGTTTGTATGAACTATTAATAAGACTTATGGAAAATAAAACAATTTTTTTTCCTTCAATCTGGTTTCCATTCGTTCATTGGTGAATCTCTTTGTCACTGTAAAAATGCTTGTAAAATAAACCAATAAGAGAAATGAGTTCCCTTTGGAAATTATTTCTCCCATTAGGTGTTTCTCTTTTTTAACTGAGTAATCGAAAAGTGTAAATCTTAGTTATTGATTCGATAAATAAAAGAAAAAAACATTCCTAAGTTTCTTATTTATTATATATTAATACTGTAAGCAATATGTAATAGTAATTTTGAGTAATATATATATATATATATATATATATATATATAAATAATAACATTTCTTATAATAGTGAACATTCTGATAAATTTATATTTTTATAGCAATACAATTTTTGGTAATATTTTACCATTATAATAAAATATATGTTTCTGTATATATATTTCAGAATTTAACTGACCCAGTCTTTGGGACCCTACGTTGTGGTGGAGCGATGTAAGAGGAATGTGTTTTTT